TGTCATATTTACAGATACTGAGATAACATTTTGTGCGGTAGTAGTTGAGAGTCATTCTTAATGCATACTCTCACTGTTCTCAGATCTCGTGAGATCTTGCAATATTGCATAAGATCGTGCAACTCATTTACAAGGTGTTACCAGAAAAGACTACAACCTTGTCCTTCCTCATCATAAGATCATTTTAGATCAAAACTCTGGCACAAAAGACAGTGGAGGACATGGATTTCTTCAATGTGTGCTAGACTCCTAATTGTAGTGATGCATTAGTATATTTCCAAACAACAACAAATGACACTATTTGTTTTCCAACCATAACTGAACTCAGAACATTTTCCCCTAGATGCTGCTCTTGTTCTTTTATGGACTACCTCTACTGGGTGCATTTGTCTACGGCCTGCTCCAACCTGGCTGCACCTGGATGTCAGACTGGACGACATTCTTCGCAGGAGTTGTGATCCAGGTAGTGCAACAATGACTTGAAAATGACTCTGAATGCATCACGAGGAAAGCAGCTGTTTCATATTGAAGTGACAGTCTGTTGTACGCCATAAAGTGACAGCACTCATTGGTGCACCTGGCCAGCCAAATTTTAAACAGTGTTTAAATAAAAGGCCTGAAAAACATCTGCAATAAACTTAGCTTATGTTTTTTTTTCCTGTTAGCACAAGCTGGACTCATTTAGAGAACTTTTTTTTAAAATTATAATAAACAAGTTGTACATTTGGATGCTGGTTTAACTAAGAGAATCACAAGGACAAAACTCCTCGATTAAAGCGTTGCTTCACCCAGTCTAGTCGTTGCAAATGTCACTCTCCATGACATTTCCAGCTTGTTAATGCAGTATACCTCCTGGACAGAGGTTTATCTTCCTTGTTAGAGAAAGCAAACCTTTATGTCAGTCCTCTGGGGTATTTGTGAGAAAGAGTCTGCAAAGGGAACACAACAGACTGTGGTGCAATGGTTTGCAAACTTTTCATCTGTTGACCCACAAAGTAATTGTAAGACGAACCACTGTAGGTTTATATATAAATTATATTAAGAAACTTAATAAACAAGGGCACAACGAGAACACAGTTCTGTTAGTTATTATTATTGCTTTTAATAACTAGTAAAATTATGGGGAACTAGGTCTTTGGCAATCATTTTTAAGCCATTGTTTTTCCTGAAGATTATCTGAGGACCCCCCTACTTGGTATTTCAAGACCCACTGTAAACCTTACATTTAGGAATTACTGCTCTAGTGGAATTGAAAGTGTTGATATACCAAACACCTTAAAGGAAATGTGGCCTAACGTCTGTCTTACTGTGTCTTCTTCCAGTGCCAGTGGTCCCATATTGGCGGGTCGCTCCACTCTCGCACCGCAGCTCCGTTTCATATCCCCAGTGATGTTTTCTGGACAGTGTTGGCAGCTAACCTGCTCTATGCAGCCATCCCAGTTCTGGTAGCCCTGCGGGTTCACAGCAACCCTTATTTCTTCTTAAAAATTGCTCCCTTTCCTGGTCAGACTGGTTTGCCAATCAGTGAGGAGAAAGATACCAAGTACAAAGATAAATAATTCCCACTCACTTGTGGAGTCTAGTCCTCTTGTATTGGTTGAGAAAGAAGTGCATGATTAAAATTGTCATATTTGAAAATGTCAAAATAAAGAATTATTTTGCTCAAAAATGTTTTTTTGTGTTTGCATGGTTGCTACACTTTATACAATGCTTGGAAAGTCTGCCTTTATGCAAATTGTTAGTCATTTCTATTAACATGTTACATTTTCTGCAGACAAAAGCAAACACCTTGACTGCAACAGTGCTCTCTGACAGAAGCAGCCCACCTTCAACAGGACAGCCATAAGCCCCTCACAAAAAACGAAAGCTTAGAAAGGGGTTGTAGAATGCAACAAAAACTCTGAGATGCTCATTTTTGACTTTGAACTTCTCAAATACAAATTTCACCTAGCGTCCTTGGCAAAACAAATAATCCACTGGGTTAAAGTCTACAAATTTTCTGGGGTCAGATGATCCAGAACAGGCTCAAATATTCCCACATTCAGCCAGTGGCTGGAATGTAATGGAAACACAAAAGCAACATCAAAATCCTTAACAGATAAACTTTTTTTATTACTAGATGAGTTAAGTCACCTATAATTTGTTCTTATTAGCACTGGCGTTGGATGCAACATTAAATCTTTCAGCAGGAAAATGTAAATCATTTTGATGCAAATCATAATCACAAACATATGACATGTCACGATACAGTAATTGCATGGTTTGAACTAAAAGTTTATTTTTATTTAAAGACATTTGTCAAAACAAGATTTTCATAGTGAAAAACAAACAAAAAAACAAGTAAAATGTTTGAAAAAAAATTGCAATGTAACAACAAATACTGAACAAAGTTCAATAATTGTGTTTTGTTTCCTGAATAAACCAAACATTTAACTTGTTTTTTTGTTTGTTTTTCACTATGAAAATCTTGTTTTTACAAATGTCTTTAAATAAAAATAAA